CATCACCAATGAGTGCATGCCACCTACGCGGTGGGCATATTAACATGTGTCCACCGTAGGTAGGGGAGCATTTCTGTTCTACTATAAGATAAAAGTTTTCTCGTAATGATGAAGTTTTTTATACATCATGTTTTTCGACATATCTATTAGATTAGATGCAGCTAACATGCTGCTATAAGATAAATGTTTCCTCGAAGCGGGATGCATGTCACATGTCATCTAAACTTTTTGAATTTTTTAAGTTTGTTACTTTTAATTATCACAAATTTAACCGTGTGAATTGATTTACAACAGTCTTTACATTCATTTAAGACTGATTTTCATTTGCTAATAATTTATAAAGTTTGTTTATTAATTTGACCAAAAATTTTGCTTATTGATTTATAAAGTTTGATTATTATTTTGACCAAACAGGAAAGATGAACTTGTTGGATCAATGTTATTAATTTAAACAAACATAAAAGTTTTCATATTATATTTTTAGCCTTTATCAATTAGGAAACATTTTCATGATTTTTTTTATTTATTCTACGATTTGCTGATCCATTACAGCTTTGAACAATCTATGAAAATTATTAAGCCGCCTTCTGGCAAATATGTATGGAGTTATGTATTCGTGTCTCATAAGTTACAAACATAATGAATAACATTACAAATTATTCATTCAAACTTTTTAGTCATTGCAAATATATTAAAATAGTTTATATAACAACCATTAAATACCACTTTCAATATATTTATATATATAAAGTACATAAAAATTTTGGTGTGTTTAAATTTAAATAATTCTTGATGGACTCAATTTTAAATCATCCGGACATTTGGTCAAACGCATAGGTGTGTTCAAATTTAAATTATTGGCATTTTGTTCGGTTGAAATTTAAATCATCTACCATGGTACTATGATGTTATAATATATATATATATATACACAATTTTTTAACAAATAATATATGCTTTATAAAAGTAATAATAATAATTTCACAAGATTTTAAACGTAAAATCTGGTTTTTAATCACAATCAAAAATCATGGTAAGTTGTATTGAAAATGTGTTATGGGATAAAACAATTAAATACAATAATTAAATAAAATACTTGATAAAAATATAATGCATTAATGTTCTTTGACTCTTACTACTAATTCTAGTAAATATGATAGCTTTTTATATAAGTATAGATGTTAAAATTATGTTAAATTAACGATAATATATATATATATATATATATATATATATATATATATATTATATTTTTGCTATAAGTACTGTGTACATGTTCCCACCCTTGTTCCATCTACGAATGAATTTATACAGTAGATAATAACCGTAACTTTTTTTTTTCTTTTTTCAAATGATCAAAATACTCATAACATAAAAAACGTCACTTACAAACCGGATGACTCACTAGCCCTTACAAATAAACTGGAGAACTACATCCATAGGTGGCCTAGCCCAACACTAAAACAACACCCAAGGCATAACCGAGATTATGACGACCTAGGGTACTACAACAACAAACACAACCAAATACAGAAAATAACAAAACACACAGACATAAATCCAAGCCACTGACCTACAAACAGGACCTAACAATAGATACAAGAAGAAAAACAGCAACATAAATTGAACAGAACAAAACTCAATCCATTCCCTGTGAGCCAATCTGACAATAGACTCTTCGGGCAACCAAGTGTTTTGAAAGACCCACAAGTTACGAGATTTCCACAGCCACCACAAGATATAAGTTGACAATTGAATGCGAGCCTCAGAAAAGGTGATAGCTTCATTTCAGCAATTTGCCACCACCATCCTCTGAAACCTGTTATGGCAGCTTCCTGAAAGTCCCAGCAAAGGGGAAATTTTTCAAACCTTCTTTGCTCTCATGCATTCAAAGAATAAATGAGCCACATTTTCTATATCTTCCCCACAATATCTACAAATGGAGTCCATCTCTAGTTTTCTTTTCCTCGGATTTTCACACACAGGCATATTATTTGTAAAATATTTCCACAGGAAATGCCTTAGCTTTGGCTTCACCTTAAGAGACCAGCATTTCAGTTTGCTCTTTTATCCACAGCCTGTGTGTAGTTGCTACCAGGAGAGTCCAACTTGAGCACTTTCTGATCATCACTACAGCATAGGCAGAGGCAACAGAGAACTTACCTTTAGAATCTGGCTTCCAAACCCATCTGTCATTTTCCTCAGGGTTCAAACACTGCATTGCCAAAATAGCTCTGCAAGAGGCATTTGTAACAGCTGTTGTAAGAGATTAGTGTTCCAAGATCTACCAGACTCAGACAATAGCTCCCTCACCCATGTCAACTTCAGACTCCCCACATTTGGCTTTAAACAAGGCAAACCTGACTGTAGACCTATCACCCAAGGATCTAATAAAATTTTGGTTGACACCCCATCCCTAATCTGTTTTCTGAAACCATCTTTATGAAAAGCCATAACTCTGGCCCAAGAGTTCCATAACCATGAAGCAGAAGCTTTACCTTTGGCATTGAGCACACAGTCATTTGGAAAGTATTTCTCCTCCACAAGAGAATTGAATTTTGTCAATAGTCTCCATATCTGCTTTAGGATCAAGGAGTCATTAAAAGCCCTGAACCTCTTCATGTGTGTGAATTGCATGCGTTGCTTTGGCAGCTTTTATACCCCACTATATATATGCACTTTTTTTCATAGCAAAATTGTTGTCTCATAAAAAAAATAATAAAAATAAATTTAAAAAAAAATCTTTCACCCTAAAACTTAGGGAATGGTATGCGAAATACTTCCGCATATTTTGCTATCGCATGTATAAATTCACCGCATAATGTAATATATATGAGAAAGTTTTGCATATTTAAATATTTTATGATAATGAGCTTGCTCATATGCCATTTTTTTCATTCAACAATTTCTTGCATAGTTAACGATTCTCATATCCAAATCTATAATGCCTTGCGATTCTTATATCCAAATCTATAATGTCGTACAATTAACGATTATGCATTATGTTTTTGTATATTCATAAACCTCATATTCAAAGCGAAATATACATAATTCAAGACTATCCGCCATTTTTTCGCCGATCTATATCACTAATTGCATGTGAGCCGAAAACAATTTGCATATTATTTGCATCATTTATGCATAGTTAGGATTGTTTTATTTTTCACATTAAAAAAATAGACAAATAACATGTATCTATTCATTAGTTGACTACGCCTAGCAGCCTCGTAGGAACAAAATCTACCTCTTTTAGGGGTCATCAAAAGTTAAAAAAATTAAGAAATAAAATAAAATAAAGAACCACCTGTATCCCCCTAGTCCACCCACCCTACCATATTCCACGTCAGCACAGCTCAACCTCTAATCCCGCCACAAAAGACATCAATCACATACTTGCTCATGTTTTATCCACAACATCAACTAAAATCCCATCTGTAACCTCAAACGTGTTCTTTCCTCTCTCAAGCAAGACCCATCTGAACCATATAATGCACTGTTCGGCTCGGCTCCTCTATCACCACCTAAAACCACCACCAAACCCCCTCCTAACCCCAAACCCATCACCCCCCAACAACAATCCCATTCTCATTTCCCGACGAAAACTAGTCGCTTCGTCGCCCTTACTTCCGCTCTCCATCGCCATCTCCGGCCGGTCGAGAGCCGAAACAATCGATACCGAAAATGCCCCTCCGCCTCCGACCAACTGTCCCGATCCAGCCAACACAACACGGGAGGCATTCCTTGACGTGTCCATAGACGGCGAGCCCGTCGGCCGAATCGTCATCGGGCTGTACGACGCCGCCGTCCCGTCAGGTGCCGCCAGGTTTGCCGAGCTCGTGAGCGGGGCCGCCGGGCTCAGCTACCGGAAAAAAGAGTTTGTGAAGATAATGCCGAGCTACGTGCAGCACGGAGGGCTCATATCATATGAGAGTAGAAAAGAGAGAAATTTGGCGCTTGTGCAGGAATTCGAGAGACAGAGGGGCTCTTCATGCGGGACCAAGAACGTGGCCGGGAGTTTGAGCATAATCGTGCGGGACCCCACGAAGCCGCCGCCTAAGGTGAAGGTGGTTGCGCGCAAGGGGAAGCTTGAAATAGATGAGGAGGAGACAAGGATGGATCCCAACGGCACCGAGTTTGTGATTGCCACTAAGGACTCGCCCGAGCTGGACGAGTCGGCTTTGGTTGTGGGGATAGTTGTCGGAGGGATGGATGTTGTCGATAGAATTGCTCAGGTCAAGACAGTGCAAGACAACTCCAGCTCTCCATATTTTAGGTATGCCAGTCTCTGTCTCTAAAAACATTATGCTAAACAGTGGAGAAGAAGAAGCTATTATTAGTGAATGGGCATATCTAACCTGTCCTTTTGTTGGGTGAAGGGTGGCAAAGCTGATTGGAGACAAGAGGGCTGTGGTGGCCGAGAGAGGCTTCAACCGACCCTATTCAAAGGTTGTCGTCACCAATTGCGGCCTTATCACGGGATGACTGCTAATTGCCAATATTTTTGTTTCAGTTACACTCGACCCCAGTCATTTTGGAATCACTTTGGTCGTAAATAAACCCGTTTTATGCATGTTGCAATGACTTCCACTTGTTCTTATACTTGAGATCACAAGTACAATACTATTTTGGTATGCTATGTACAAGCAGATATCAGTTAAAATTATCACCCAGGTCATCGAACTGTGCCGCTTTTAACGCTCGAGAACATCTCATAAGTTATATGCTTCAGCTTCTCTCAGCACTTTGGTTCTCTATTTGGAGTCGTGAAAAGTCTTTTCACAGAGGCAAGTGGATAAAATGTTGAAGACTCTTAAGATATTGCTCAAACAAGAGCTTCTCCTGTTATCAATCGACACAGGCGAATTAAGTGGGTGAACCATCAGATTTCACAACTGACTATGCATTGATAAAGACATATGGGAAGACAAAGATTCAGGATTCAAATTACACGTTCAATTTCATAACTACTAAACGTTAGAGAAGAAGTGCAATAATGATATGAAAGAATTACAGAACTTAAAGAATACTGCAAAAGAATAGCTAATTCGTAAAAGTATTGCTTGCCTTGTCTCTGTGCGGAAAGTTACTGGCATAGCGAAAGGAGACGTGCATCACATAAGGCACGGGCAATTGTATATCTGTATCGATGTCTATGTTAACCCAAACCCCTTCTAGCACATTTCCGAGGGGCTCGTCATCTGAAATGATTGATTATGTTATTTCGAAGTAGGATTATCCTATACTAAATATATAAATGTGATATCCTACACATTATAGAACCTTAACAATGAATAAGTTACCAAGAACCCTCTACAAGTATTGAACATATATGAATGCTACTGTTACCATTTCCTTTGTTGGCATTTCCTCTTTAGACGGTCTGTTGAGCTACGATCCAAGAAGATGAAACAACAATGGATTCCAGAACACAAGCTGAAAATTAAATTCAACTGATGCACGCAATCGCCTACAATGCATCTTAAATTCGACAAGCATTGAGACAACACGTATCCACAGACCAATCAAAACTCGCGGCTTTAACAATATCCTCGACTTTCACAAAACAAATAGTAACTGCAGCCAATGTATGAACTTGAAGTAAAAAGATGGCTGCGGATTCAAAGACCAGACCCAAACAAACCTGCGGGCTAAATTAAATATTTGGTTCACTAATATAAACATCACAAAAAGCCTTGTTTCTCGTACACGCAATAAGATAATGACATGCATAATAAACATGCGTATAGACAGAAACAAAGCATGCAAACAAAAGCATCGATACTTCCATTACACAACACAAAAGACGTTCAGACACCTACACACAAAATAGTGGATTTTCGGGGGGGTTTTCACAACTTTGATCCCTAAAACTACCCCAAGATCTGAGTAAAATTCACACTATCCACCAACTGAAGCCTGATTGAAGACTGAAGGCCTAAACCCACCATTTATATATATAGATGGAAGAGTAAGATTGTGAAAATGGCATTTTGCTTCCATCACTAACTATATTACTAGAAGAACTGCTGGAGCCAGTGGCAATCGGCTGCATCCTTTTCCAACTCCTCTCTCATCTCGCCGACTTGTTTCAAAGCCTGCTTCATGTCCATCTTCTCGAGTGGTAACTCTGAGAAATCCTTCAGGAACCGGCGGGCCAGCTCGTGACCCCTACTCACATCATCATTGTCTCCCTCTCTCTTACGTTTGGATCCCGTCTGGAATAATACAATACCCAATTCAGTATATGCACGAGAGAACTTGACCGAAATTTTAATAATTTAACTTCATTTCATTTCTAAAGTAAAAATCATATGGGGCGTCAGTAAATCAGATGGGTTACAATATCATGAGGTGATGTTACAAAAAATCAGGTAACTGAGAAATGTTTGATTACACTATGAAATCAACTCACAATATGCAAAGAACCGTTGGGTAACTTAGGAATGTTAATCATCCAGAATAATAATGTTATTTTCATATATGATGCAATTTTCATGCTTTCGTATTATGCCGAAGACACTCAAGCCCCACGTGTACTTATTTTCTATCCTCATTAGCCATTCATTGTTTCACGTTTCTCATTGTCCATTAATTATTTCCTTCACTATTAGTTCGGAAAGAGACACCTTGTTAGAAATATTTAGGGCAAACTGCCAGTTAGGTAGCCCAAGAAAGTACCTCTTTGGCAGCATGAGGCACACCTGCTGTTGACGAAAAGTTTTCCAACTCAGAAGCCTTAGCTCGGGCAAGGGCGACTACGCTATCTGGAAATTTAGCAAATTCGGCAACATGAATACCAAAACTTTGGTCACATGCCCCTGGTTCAACCTGAAAAGAGACACGTCAAATGTACACCGTTTAATGGGCCGCGAGTTAAAAAGAAAGCTTATCCAAACTATGGAGTCAGAAATATAAGACTATTACATCGAAATAGTCAAGCTGCAAGAAAATTGAAATAATCTTCATATCAGTCAAACAACAGACGCATTTGGTGGAAGATAAATATCTATATTACATACGAATTATACCATTGCAATCAATTTCACTAATTAACCATTCTCCATAAGAGCAACTTGACTGCATATCTGATTTTAAGTGGCATGATTATCACTCGGCCTTTTTAAGAAATAGTAAAATGTGCATCCGCTAAACACTCATATCCAACATAAGCATTCTCTTTAGTGTGTCAATTGTAAAACAAGCAGCTTGCCATGAACTATGCACATACATAGCAATACACACACACACACATACTCAGTGTATGAAGAAGACGGGAGCAGCTTGTAAATCATACGGCATACCTTGTAAAGCATAGTAAGTTTGCGACTTGATGAGTCAATGTGCGCACTAACATGATAATTAGCTACTCCTGGCAGTTTTTTCGATGTTTGCTCATCACCGTAACTTCCATGAGCTAAAACAGTCAGCTCATGAAAGTGAGTAGCGAAAAATGTTGGAGCTTTTATTACTTTGACTATGTGCTCACAAATGGCCCAAGCTAGGCCTGCATAGCAAGACGCCAAAAATTTTAAGGTAGAGTACTATGTAAAACAAATAACCCAAAAGGAAGCTCAAAATCGAAGCATAGGAGTCGGATAAGTATGACAATAAAAATGGAAACTTTGAGAATAGTGGAAGTATTTTCTTCCTCTGATTTCTAAAGCCTTTGCAGTAGTAATGTACTCAAAACACTCTATAGCAATTACCCCTTGCAGCTCCACATGTTTGCTTATATTCATTCACTTTAACAATGGTAGCAAATTATACAATGTACGTGTACGCAAAAAAGAATGTAATACGGAACACATGCCACAATCACTATTAGCGCTTATTTAATAACAGAACCTGCCATCGCAATTGCAATACAATATGTAGAGGTAGTTTGGGCATAGGAAAACTGAAACAACAATAAAAAGATTCATGTAATGTCTGTCTTACGGTCAATTCTGTGTGTGTATTGGGGTTGGGGTTGGGGTT